TTTTGTTTTTTGTTTTGTTTTTTTTTTTTTAAAGGAGAGAATGTATTTGAGAAAGAGAGCATGAGAGGGGGGAGGGTCAGAGGGAGAAGCAGACTCCCTGCTGAGCAGGGAGCCCGACGTGGGACTCGATCACGGGACTCCAGGATCATGACCTGAGCCGAAGGCAGTCGCTTAACCAACTGAGCCACCCAGGCGCCCGCTCTTCACTTTAAAACCAAGCTGGGAAGTTCTGCTTGGCTTAAGCCTTACCCCAAAACAAAAAAGGGTGTATGTGTATAACTGGGAGCAAGACTTGAGACCCAACATGACCATCTCTTATCAGGACTCAGGGCCCAGGGATGGGAAGAGAGAAGAGTCGCACGAAGTTACAGTGAGGCAAACACAAATACCCATGAAAGCCTTCCCTATGGAGGGTAGGCTACTGAGAGAAGACACAGGAGCTGAGGAGCAAGAGAGGTCTGTAAAAGTCAGGTAAGATCAGATGGAGAGGGAGAACCAAGGAAGACAACTCAAAAACTCATTAAAGAGAAAGTGCAGAACAAAAACCTGGAATGGACAGTCACAGAGGTGAAGAATCGCCCCAGGGCGACATACACGGGCTCCAGGCTGAGAGCCCTGGGTGTCTCCATCCCTCTTCTCAAACAGGTGATAGAATGGGAGGGCCCCATACCTTCCACCGGTGGGCTAGGCGAACTGCAGAACTCAGGAAACTTCTCCCTCAGCATTGCCCGAAGCTCCTTATCCAATTTAGGGTTGTCAAACAGGGGAGCCAAATGCCTGGGGGGGAGCATGAATGGAGGTCAACATCAGAGCGCCTCACTTCGGTTGGGAGAGACAGGTCTACGCCCAACCAGTATAGCTGGGCCATACTCAGACTCCTGGAATGTGGTGACAAGACAGGAATTTCTGTAAGTGTCAAGAGGACATACTCTCAGCAGTCTGAGGCAGAGCTAGTACTTTCTATACCTGTCAAGAAAAGTCAGCAGTGGTAGGACAGTATCTGAACGTGCCTGACCTAGTGACACATAAGAAAACAGCCCCTCCCCGCTGCTTACAGACATGTAAAGTTCTTACGCCAAGACCCGTTTCTCCACAATGTGGTTGAGGGAGGAGAACACACCCTGTCGCACATGGCCCTCCAATGGTGGATAGAAGTTGGGAATGATCTGGAAGGGAAGAAAGGAAGCAAAGAATGAGCACACAACACAGAGTGTTCTGCTGAACTAGAGCTAAAAAGCTGCTTCAGTTTTGATCAGAAAACACAAGTATGGCTGCAGAAAGGTCTGGAATATTCCTCACCATTCCAGGTTGCTAAAATGGTTAATTCTTCCTAGACCTGGCTGCACCTCAGAGAGACCAGATTCTACCTTAAGTCATTATCCCTGAGGTCAAGAAAGACATGGAAAGATCCCACGGCACATGGCACATGGCAGGAATACGGAAGGGGAATATTCACTAACCTGGGGGGTAGGACCTACGACCACAGCTGCTCCCACGATGAAGGGCACTGGGAAGACCTACTTGCGGGCCTATAAGGTGAGGGGACACACACTTACACGGCACATGAAGTCCAGGAGTGTGGCAGTGATGGCTGGGTGTGGCTTCATGGAGTGGTGCATGACCAGGATGGCCGGTTCTGGGGAAGGTGGAATGAAAGGGCCCCCACATCAGACAGTCTGTGCCCAGCTCCATGAAACAAGGCATCAATACTTACGAATGGTTCGGGAGAAAGCTGTATCCCTACCCCTATTCCCACTGAGCAGACCCAAAAGCAGACAAGCCCTGAAACAGCTCCTCGCTCTCATCTCCCTTGTCCCCAGCATATAGCTTGGAGAATAGGAGTGGTAGGAGAGGAAAAGCAGGGTGTGGCACAGCCCTGCGCCTAGGCCCTCCCCACCAGAAGCCCACGCATAAGCTCTAGGGCAAAAGGGGGGGAGTGAGCGCTTGGCTTCATAAAAGCAATCTTCCTTCTACATCAAGGGAGCACTGGTGAGGAACTATGTAACTGCTCCCAGATAAGTTGCCTCTCCCCGGGCTGCCCTGAGATTTATGACTACTGTCACCAAGGCTAGGCGGGGGCTTGGGAGTTGAGGGTGGTGTTGCCCGGTCTGGTCACATACCTATGTTCATAATGCTATCCTTGTCTGGGCTAAAGAACAGCCAGTCGTAAAACAGAGCCAGCTTGGCATTGGAGGCAGCGACATTTGACTGGAAGACAGAGGAGAAGGGAGGGCTGATTTCGTCAACCAGCTCCCTTCCCTTCAGAAGCGCAAGGCAGCCTCCAGAGCCCACACAACTTCCCATCTATGAAATAAATTCACTTCTAGTGAGACAGATGGAACCCCCCAGGGGTGAGGGGCACACAAGTCTGCATAAGAGTGCAAGTGGCCATGTTCTCACTGACCAAGGGGCCAGGGATTGACCTGGGTTCTCATACATCCAGAAGAACACATCCTTGATCCTAGAAAAGGAGCTGGGACCTCACTGACATGCACCCAGACCAGCCCCTAGGCTGCCCGGCTGGGCTCCCCAGGCACATTCCTGACTGAAAGACCCCCTAGGAACAGCCTGTTGTTGTGTCTGAATCAGCACATTCCAAGGACCCAGTTGGGGCAGGAAGGGTGTCAAAAGGCAACTAGAGGCCAGAGAGCAGACAATTTGGAGTTTCCCACCCAAGGAACAGGGAGAAAAATGCTGGGAAAGACATGGCTGTGCCATGGAGTCCCTATGTTTGCATTAGTATCCAAAGCTGATGCCAAAAGGTTGCCAAGTGAGGGTCTAAGGAACACAAGCCCTGAATCTGAGGAAGGAACCATTCAGAGGAATGACCATACATGGTTCTGAAAACTAAAAGGAAACACGGGGAGGCGTGAGAAATCTGGGCTCGAGGATCGGCAGTAAAGGCAGAGATGGACCTGTTCAACCCCAAACCCAGATGGGGAATAATGAGTGTAGTCCACTTCGAGAGACACGGATGGAGGCTGGACGAAGGCGGAGACATTCAGCAGGAAGAAAGTGAAGGAAGGGCCCGTAGGGGTCAGGAGGCCCAGAGAGGCAGGAAGAAGCATGGAAATACGGGGAACTCAAGGGAAGAGGACTCTTCACCACCCGAGAGCCTCCATCCCACAGCCCAGCCCCTCACCGTGCATGTTGTCAGGAGCCAGCCAATGATGGCCCATCGGGGCAAGATATCTGAACTCAGCACTTCGTTAGAAGGGTGGACAACCCCACAGATGTAGCGAATGAGGTCACAGCGGAGAGACTGACTGTCTGGGGTTGACAGGTACTGGCGCTGGAACCAATCCTGGTAACGCTTTTGTTGACCAAACCGCACCTGGAGGAAGGGGGCGTTGGAGAGAAACTCGGAAGGAAGGGTGTGGTCTCTGGGCAGAGGAAAATGACACTAGGCTTGACCCAGACTTCAATCTCTTCCCTCCATTCATTCATTAACTCACTTTCTTCTTGACTTCTCCTCCGTTGGGAAGACTTCCTGATGTAAATAGTCCTTGACTGAAAAAAGTGCCGAGACTCTTTCCCACTCACCTCTTGTGCCTTCATTCCTGCCACCCACCTAATGTCCTGAACATTTACCCCAACTGTGACTGCAGCCCATTTTTGGCTCCTTTCTCCTGTTCTGGTCACAGAGGCTCTAGTCCTAAGCATCATCTTTTCTTATCTTCTAGAGCCCCTTGTGGTCAACAAGGAGTGTTCCTCGAGAACAAGAGTGGAGCCCGTTTGCCACTCGGCACTGACAGAGCTTTCTGATGTTCAGCAACCTACGGGGTCACTAACCCAGGTACACAGACTCTCCAAACCTTCTTGCAGCAACTCCTTCCCCGATCACACTCTAAAGTGGTACAACAGCAACACCAGGTAAGAGAGATGTGGTTTTCTCCCCTTCTATTCCCCAAATTCAAACAAAACAGCGAGGAGAAGGAATAAAAAGAAAGAAACGGGCGCCCGGGTGACTCAGTCGGTTGAGCATCTGCCTTTGGCTCAGGTCATGATCCTGGAGCCCTGGGATCGAGCCCCGCATCAGGCTCCTGCTCAGTGGAGAGTCTGCTTCTCCCTTTCCCTCTGCCCCTCACTCTGCTCATGCTCTCTCTCACGAGTACGCTCTCTTTCTCAAATAAACAAATACAATATAAAAAAGAAAAGAAAAGAAAGATACAACTAGATCAACACTGTCCAGTAGAACTTTCTGCAACGATGGCGCCTACTGAGCACTTAAAACGTAGCTAATGCGACTGAGGTACTGAATTTTTAATTTTACCTAGCTTTAATTACTTTATTTTTAAAAAAAAATTTTTTTTAACATTTTATTTATTTATTTGACAGAGAGAGACAAAGCGAGGGAGGGAACACAAGTGGGGGAGTGGGAGAGGGAGAAGCAGGCTTCCTACTGAGCGGGGAGCCCGATGCGGGGCTCGATCCCAGGACCCTGGGATCATGACCTGAGCTGAAGGCAGATGCTTAAAAACTGAGCCACCTACGCGCCCCTAAAAAAATTTTTTTTTTAAGATTTCATTGTCAGAGAGAAAGAGCGAGCGAGCATGAGCAGGGGGAGGGCCAGAGGGAGAAGCAGGCTCCCCACTGAGCCAGGAGCCCAATGTGGGACTCGATTCCAGGACCCTGGGATCATGACCTGAGCCGAAGGCAGACACTTAAGTGACTGAGCCACCCAGGTGTCCCTAAAAAAATTTTTTTAAAAGATTTTATTTATGTATTTGTCAGAGGGGGAGTGGCAGGCAGAGGGACAAACAGATCCCCCTCTGAGCAGGGAACTAATGTGGGACTCGATCCCAAAACCCTGGGATCATGACATGAGCCAAAGGCAGATGCTTCACTGACTGAGCCACCCAGGCGTCCCCCTGCAAATTTTTTAAGATTTTGTTAAGTCATCTCTACATCCAACGTGGGGCTTAAACTCATGACCCTGAGATCAAGAGTCACACGTTCCACCAACTGAGCCAGCCAGGTGCCCCTCGCTTTAACTACTTTAAGTTGTAAATCATGGTTAGTGGCTACCACATGGGATAGCACAGATCTGGACGGCTCTCCGGCATGACTCAAGAAAACAAAAGTGGACTAGGCCAGTAGCTTCCCAAGCCCAGACTGGCTGTAGAGGAGCCGTTGCCTGGAAACTCTCTGTTAAAAACATAGATTCCTCAATCAGATTATCTGGGAGACTAGCATCTAGGAAGATGTATTTTTAACATGTTGCTCAAGCAATTCTGTCATAACTCAGCCATGTTTGGAAACCAAAAGGCCATAGCTCTCTTCCTGAGAACTCACGTGCAGGCCGAGGAACAGTGGAACAGTGGGTTTCCCAGAATGAACACTCTACCCTTTTACAGCACATTTCACACTTGTAAATTACGTAATTTGTGTATAATTATTGGTTTAACGATGGTTTTAGACAGACTGGAAGCTTCACAAGAGCTCCAACTGGATGCACCTCTTTTACTAAACCCTGTATTCCCAGCTCATAGCACCCCGCCCAATGCCAGATAGACTGGGTACCCACCTGACCACCACTCTGCCAGTCAGCACTCAGGGGTAAGGCATCTGCAGGCTGGAGGAAGAAGCCCAGCCAACCTGCAGCTTCTGTTCCTGCTGCAAAAGGTTAGCTTACCCGGGAGGTCATGAAGAGGAGCTTAGTCTCCATGTCTGGGGTTAGACGACATGCTAGGAATTTCCGGGATGTTCTTGACTGAAGAAGCTGCAGGATACCTGAACGAAGTGTGTAAGGGAAGAGAAAAGAGACAAGCCTGAGGACCAGAAGGAAAGAAGGCAGGTGGGGAACCTGGGCCAAGTTCTGATGGCCAGTGGTCTTGCTCTTGGGGAAATTCTAGGACAAGACCAAGAGAGGTCAAGCACAGATACAAGTGGGGTTCTAACCAGCAATGCCATGTTCTGCTCCAACCAACCACCACCCCCAGGACCCAGATATATTACTTCTCTTCTGCTCCTGGCCATCCAGAGCCCCCTACTCACATTATTCCAGTTGGCAACCTGTGGGAAAGTTAGGGGAAAGCAGGGGAAACCCTAGCCTCTCTTCCTGCTCCTGATGGTCCCATCCCTGGGTCCTGGGATCAATGTTGTGGTATAAGCAGGGACTCTGGAGTCAGACAGACCTGGATCCAAATCCTGCCTCTGACACTCACTAGCTGTGTGGCCTTGGGCAAATTACTTAATCTCCTTGAACCTCATTTTCTTTATCTGTAAGTATGGAAAGTAAAATATCCATTTTACAGGGTTGTCCTGAGGATTAAATGAGTTAACATACATGTGTCTAGCACACAGTAAGCACTCAAAACAACTCAACACATGTTTAATATAAGAGCAATACAGCATAAAGGAGAACCGGGACTTTCCTCTCCTTCCTGACTCTCCAGGGCCTAGACAATTGTTTCCGCGTGCACACCCATGTACATGCACACACACGATCTACATATACACACATACATGCTGGAGGTGGGATGGGGACCCTGAGACGGGGAAAGAGCTATCAAAAAGACCTTGTCAGGGAGAGGCACACAGAGGCTCCTTCCACTGAAGAGAATTTTGGCTAAGCTGGATCCTTGGAATTCAGAGGCAAGACTGCTCCCAGGGAAAAGCATTCACTTAAAAGGCTAATCCCAGGGGCGCCTGGGTGGCTCAGTTGGTTAAGCGACTGCCTTCGGCTCAGGTCATGATCCTGGAGTCCCGGGATCGAGTCCCGCATCGGGCTCCCTGCTC